GGGCTCCGGAGGCTTTCCTTGAGCCTCCAGGAGGGCGGAAACAGCCTTCTCTGGGCTCCAGAGGCCCTCTGGAGGCTGTAAACAGGCCCATTCCTGGCCTTCTGAAGCTTCCGGGAGGCCTGTTTTTCACCCTCTCTGAGCCGTCGCACTGGCCCTGTACTTACTTGGCATCTAAAACAGGCCTGGGAGGGGAGGGGTGGGTGGGGCCAGCCAGGGGTGGGATTTATGGGTTCACCGAACTGCGAAGACTCTTAGGATAATGTGAACCCGTAGCAGCCCATCCCCGATGTGGAGATTGGCAGCACCTCCCACGTTCTACGAATGACACACCCTGTGCCCACCCAAGAGATACTTACTGACGTAGGCAGTCACTCCAACAGCAACAAAGACTGTGGCCACTACAACCCCAATGACTCCGGCCACGAGCCCCATGTTGGGCAAAAAGGCTGTGTTAGAAAAAAGGATACAGTGACCAGAGGTGTCCTGAGATTATGCTTCCCTCTAATTTCCCAATTTTAGCGAGAGGGCAGTCAAGACTGAGTCAACTAAGCCACAGTGCTCTAAAACAGTGGTGCCCAACCTTTCTGGCTTTGCAGACTGGTAGGCAGGGGGAAGAGGGATAGTGCTGCATGAGTGCGTGCATGCAGCTCCAGGTGCACCAGTGGTGGGCATGTGCTCACGCAAATGGAGCTGTGCATGCACACATGCTCATAAGCTTCCTAACAGACAGGAAGCAGCAGGTGAAGCTAGGCAGAATCACATCTGATACCCCTCCCCCCAAGGCTGTGTGTTTTCTCCACTTCTCCCTATATACCAATGACTGCATCTCAAACGACCCATCTGTTAAAATACTGAAGTTTGCTGATGACACAACAGCGATTGGTCTCATTCTAGACAACGACAAATCGGAATACAAACCCCTCACATCCCGGACATAAACTGCTTCAACTCCTTCCATCAAAACGACGCTATATTGCACTGCACACCAGAACAACTAGACACAAGGACAGTTTTTTCCCCCCCAAAGCCATCACTCTGCTAAACAAATAATTCCCTCAACACTGTTCAACTATTTACAAAGTCTGCACTACTATTACTGTTAATCTTCTCATCACTCCTTATCGCCCATCCCCTCCCACTTGTGACTGTATGACTGTAACTTTGTTGCTTGTATCCTTATGATTTATATGGACATTTTCCTAGTATGATTTGATTGTTTATTGTACCCTATGACTATTATTAAGTGTTGTACCTTATGATTCTTGATGAATGTATCTTTTCTTTTATGTACACTGGGAGTATTTACACCAAGACAAATTCCTTGTGTGTCCAATCACACTTGGCCAATAAAGAATTCTATTCTATTTCTATTATTTCTATTTCTATTCTATTCTCATCCGCCATCTCTGTGGCTCAGTTCTGAACAGGCCAGGGATTGGGGCCCCCTGCTCTAAAATATTCTTAATAGCAGGGACAGAGCCTCTGATCCCGGGTGAAGATCGATTTGTTTGAAAGAGCTAAACAGCCATATTTTTGAGATGGTTTAACTTGGATGCCTGCACTGAGCAAGGGTGGACTGAGTGGCCTCAAGGGACCCTTCCAACTCTAGAATTTTGACATGCAACAAAAAATATATCTGCTTTTCCACACCATAACCCCATGGCTCCTGCACACCCACACGTTCTTTCTTCTGCAAAATTTTACACAACCAACCTTAAAACGTTCCCATTTTCCAGAAGGCCTCAATTTACCCGCCAGCTCCGATTTTCACAAACGTCTGAGTTGCCAAACATACTGGACTAGTTCAAGGATTCATCTGGATTTAGGTTTGGTCTCTTAGGGCCTGTGGCATGTTGAAGGAAGCCAACCGTTGACCAAATTTATGGTCAAGAGGATGTCGTGGCTCGGTGGCTAAGATGCTGAGCTTATCTATCAGAAAGGTCGGCAGGTTGAATCCCTAGTGCCCCATAACGGAGTGAGCTCCCGTTACTTGTCCCAGCTTCTGCCAACCTAGCAGTTTGAAAGCATGTAAAAATTGCAAGTAGAAAAATAGGGACCACTTTGGTGGGAAGGGAACAGCGTTCCGCGCGCCTTCAGTGTTTATTCATGCCAGCCACATGACCATGGAGACGTCTTGGGACAGTGCTGGCTCTTTGGCTTTATTACGGAGATGAACACCACCCCCTAGAGCCAGAAACGACTAGCACATATGTGCGAGGGGAACCTTTCAGTGGTGGGATACAAATCTTTTTACTACCGGTTCTGTGGGCATGGCTTGGTGGGTGTGTCAGGGGAAGGATACTGTAAAATCTCCAGTCAGAGGTGGTATTTGCCGGTTCTCTGAACTACTCAAAATTTCCACTACCGGTTCTCCAGAACTGGTCAGAACCTGCTGAATACCACCTCTGAGACCTTTACCTTTATGGTCATTTCTGTCAGGATTCCAGCAATTGCCCTAATTAAATCATGAGCCTTGAGCCAAACTTCAAAAAGCTTCAAAGAATTCATTAGGAGTGACATATTGGCATGACCTGGATGTAGCCGATTTTGAGACAGGTAATTCACTATCATCCTTGACCCTGGTTTTCCCCAACCGCCCTCTGGGTGTATCATAATTCATATTCTCCAATGAAACACATCCCTAGCCAAGAGTCATCAATCATGTTCTCCAATTGGAGTTTTGCGCGGCAGAAACTCCAGTCGGTTAGTGTAATCTTTGCAAGGTATGCATGGAATGCACTTTTGCTTCCAAACTGCTGCACTGTTCTTTCAAACTTCTTCCCCCCACCCCCACTCCCGCTTTCTGTTGGCAACTATAAAATAGGCATAGAAAATGTTCTATGAGTTGACAATTGCCTTGGGTAAACCCAATAAATTAGTGAACTCCATCACCACATTCATTAGGTTGTATGATCATCACAGGAGCCTCTGTGGCGCAGTGGTTAGAGTGCAGTACTGCAGGCTACTTCTGCTAACTGCCCACAATTTGGCAGTTCAAATCTCACCAGGCTCAAGGTTGATTCAACCTTCCATCCTTCCGAGGTGGGTAAAATAAGGACCCAAATTGTTGGGGGCTCTGTAAACCGCTTAGAGAGGGCTGTAAAGCACTTTAAAGCGGTACATAAGTTTAAGTGCTATTTCTATTGCTATGTGAGGTTCCAGGGAAATGTTTGCTCACATTCAGGTGGTGACACCCGCTTCCCCCCCATTCTCTTACCAGGTTCTGCCCATGCCAAGATCAGAGGCTCTGGCAGCCCGGCGTGGTCCACATAGCACCGATAGCGGTCTCTCTCGTTCGGGTCAATCTCGATGCTCAACCAGGCATGGTAGGTCCCGTCTGAGTTTGGAAGGACACCACCCCGGAAGGTGTCCTGCTCCCAGACTTCTCCATCCTTCCTCCAGGTGGCATCCATCTCTTTGGGATAAAAGCCATAGACTTGGCAGACGAGGGTCTCCATGCCGCTGTATTGGATCCTGCGAGTTACCTTCACCACTGGAGGCTCTGTAAAGAACACAACACTGGTGTTGTTCTGACCCAGCTCCCTAAACCATTTTATGCCCAAAGCTACGGTGAGGCTTCGCTAGCAGCCATGACTCTTCCATCCCAAGGATCAGCCCATAAATTTCCACTGCACTCCTCTCCTCTGCCTTCTGCACATCTATGCATCAGACACTGTACCCAGCTGTTCCTCCTCTTCCACATCAGCCACCTCCAGACCTTGGGGCTGTTGACTCTCCACCTGAGGGCTGACGGACAGCCCAGACTCTCTCTCTTTCTCCCTCTCTCCTTCTCTTTCTCCCTCCTTCCCTCTCTCAGATAACAGATAATCAGAGTTGGAAGGGACCTTCTAGGTCATCTAGTCCAACCCCCCCGCCCAAGCGGGAGACCCTACACCATTTCTGACAAATGGCAGTTGTTCTGTATTCTGTACAGTGGTAGATTTTGTCTTCTGTACAGATGCAGATAGACATTCATACAAAGTCTTTATTATTGGTTCATCAGGTATCCTCATAACTCATATTTGTGATGGAGTTCTTCTTTAATGATCAATCCTTTGCATATCTGTCTTGTATGTAAAAAGATGGTTATCTCCTATCCCTTTTCTCCCATCTCATAGCGGTGGAAGTAGAACAGTTACCACAAGTCTGTGAGTTCAGACAATAGTGAGGAAACCTCCCCCAACCCATCGAGGGTCAATTTAATGACCAATCAGGATTACAGATGTGATCAGGTGACATGAACTACATTTTCCAGGATACCTTACTACATTTACCATGATGCATTCCCTTAAGGGGACAGCTCACAAGACCAAACTAACTATCCAATTCCCATACACTGGCTGGACAGCACAGCACAGGAGTCCAATCTCTTCTTGAAAGCTTCCAGTTATGAGGCTCCCACACCTTCTGATGGCAAGCCATTCTATGGGTTGATTGTTCTCACTGTCAAAAAATGTCTCCTTATTTCCAGGTTGAATCTCTCCTTGATCGGTTTTAATCCATTATTCCTTGTCTGGCCTTTGGGTGCCTTTGAAAATAGCTCGACCCCTTCCTCTCTTTGGCAGCCCCTCAAATATTGGAAGACTGCTATCCTGTCTCCCCTGGTCCTTCTCTTCACTAGACTAGCTAGGCCCAGTTCCTGTAACCATTCTTCATATGTTTTAGTCTCCAGTCCCCTAATCATCCTGGTTGCTCTTCTCTGTACTTTTTTAAGGGTCTCAACATCTTTTTTATTGTGTGGTGACCAAAACTGGGTGCAGTACTCTAGGTGTGGTCTTACTAAGGCCTTATAAAGTGGTATTAGTATCTCCCTTGTTCTTGATTGTATCCCTCTGTTAATACAACTTAGGATTGCATTAGCTTTTTTGGCTGCTGCTGCACACGGCTGGCTCATATTAAGCTTGGTTTCACCCAGTCTATATGTGCACTTTTGGTTTTTCTTGCCTAAGTGTAAGACGTTACTTTTCTCTACATTGAATTTCACTTTGTTAGATACCACAGATCCAGAGCTCTCCTGCGACATCACCAACCCTTGTCCCCCTAGTTTCTTCCTTACCTTTCCTCAGCAGGTAATCCTTTCCATACACCATGCAATTCTGAAGCAGCTCGATACATTCCATCTCCAAAAAGTTATTCCTGCTCTGGGCGATGAAAGGCTCAGCTTCCCACCTCCTCTTGGTCACCTGAGCACGGATGTCGACTGCTGTCCAGGTGAGGGTCTTCTGATCCAAGCTGATGAAGTCCTCCCCATCGTAGCCATACTGGTAGACCCCACTCCGGTGGCCATCTTTTCTCAGATCACAGCCAATCACGCGCTGCCAGCTGTGAAACCCTGCCGAGAAGATGGAAACAGAGCAGAAGGATACACACTCCCTAGGAGAATCAGCTCCATACTGTTGAGGTAATTCCCCGTTAGGAGAATGAGTGCATACAGGGAGATGTATAGAGAGTAGTGTTTGAATAACACACACAGAGCACACAGATGCACTGTACAGCAAATGTAAGTTTTTACTTCCAGAAAGGTTTAAGCAAAGTCCAAAATAAGCAGTCCAAAAGTCATTCACAAGTAAAATCAGTCAGTTTTCAATCCAGGGATAATCCAAATATCAAAGTCCAGTGTCAAAAAACAGTTCAGTAACCAACTTACATCAAATCCAGTAATATCAGTCAATTAGAAGAAATGGAGCAACGGCAATACTTTCTAACAAAAGGAAACAGAGATACTCACTCAGACACACTCTCTTCTGAGACTAAGACTAAAACAACCCAGGTTTCTGGCTCCATCTTATGGCTGTTTGAGAAACCACACCCAATTGCAGCTTTTGCAATCTCTTAAAGACATAGTACTAAAATGTCTATCCTGGCTTATATATTTCTAACCCAAAAAGCTGTTAGGTGACTTATATTCCTAACACACATCTCTATTCTTGTCCTCCTTTTTGGTTTCTTCTCCCACTTGGGTAGTTGAAAATTGACAGATTCATCAGGGGGCAGTGTGGTAAACATCCAGCTGCATGCCACAATGGGCAGGTCCAACTCAAATGTAAAAGAGGATCTGACCTGGGGTGCTCACATTGCAGCACTGGTCAAAAGGGCCCAGCAGAGATTATACAACCTGAGACTTCTCAGGAAGCAACAACTGAATGAAAAACTGCTGGTGACCTTCTACCGCTGCACCATAGAGAGCATTTTAACTTACTGCACCTGTGTGTGCAGGGGTGGGTTTCTACCGGTTCTGTCTACCTCTGTAGAACCTGTAGCTCTGAAGAGCAGCAGACATAGAACCGGGTTTTGCCCCCCTCCCCCCCCGGCTCTTACTTGACCTTTATTTCCTGATTTTTTTCAACTTCTGCTGCCTTGTGAGGCACAGCTGCAGTTTAAAAAGCAGGAAAAAACCAGCTTTTTGAAAGGATGCTTCTCTGCAAGCAGCATGCTGGTGACGATTTACAGGCACGCACTGGCAGCTGCAGGAAGCACATCGTAAATCACCGAACCTCGTAAATGACCAAACTGGTAGTTAACCCTGTCGGATCCCACCCCTGTGTGCATGGTCTGCCAATTGCACAGTGGCAGATAGGACAGCGCTCCAGCAGGTTAACATCATTGACTAGAAGATCATTGGTTGCCCTCTCCCCTCTTTAGAAAAACTTTACAGCTGCTGCCACCTTAAGAAAGCACAGAACATTCTCAAAGATCCATCTCATCCTGGGAACCCTTTTTTTGAACTATTATCATCTGGCAGACGGTACAGGATATTAAAAACAAATAGGCTGAAAAACAGCTTCTATCCTAGGACAGTAGCTACTGTATAGTGCAGTATTGGTGCAGTGTCAGGGGTTTTCGGTTCAATGTATGGAGAGTGAAGGATGTGTGTTTGTGTTTATTTTCATGGTCATGATGTTCACTGAAGATGGTGTTTGATTTCGTTCCACGAGGTGCAATGACAATAACCTAAACTAAACCTAAACATATATTTGAAATTCAGCTGCCACATTTTTTTTGAGAGTTAGAGGAGTTGAAAAGTTCAAGGTTATTCTGTATGTCATATTAAGAATTTCCAGTTGCAGTTAATTGGTTCTCATGATTTATGAAGTGTAGAAGTGGGAGGAGAGAAGGGAGGAGAGAAGGTAGATTCTGTGTAATGCACAAAAAAACTTTCACTTGGGAAATTGCTTTTGACATGCCAGATCTGTCTCTAATAAATCAATTGGAGAGATAGCGTTTAGGAGTGACTGATATCATGGATACTTTCTAGATGCCTTACCACAGAATCTCCAAGCTAGGAACCGCTTTTTGGTTTAGAACAGAGTCCAATTTTTCCGGGTTGGTAGCCCAGAGTGGGAGGAGGGTGGGAGTAAAGGGTAATGGTTTTGTGGGAGGGGTAGCTGCATGCCTGCCCACGTACACAAACAATGGTCGTAAGTGTGAAAAACAGTCATAATTCACATTTTTTCCAGTGTTATTGTAACTTCAAATGGTCACTAAATGAACTGTTGTAAGTTGAGGATTAACTTGTCAGGATTCCGGCAGTTACCCCGATTTAAATCATGAGTTTTGAGCCAAACTTCCAAAACTTCAAAAGGATTTATTGGCAGTTAACATATCCGACACTTCCTGGGTGTAGCCGACACATCATTCATTGTCACCCTTGACCCTAGTTTTCCCCTATCCCCTGGGTGTATCGTAATTCATATTCTCCAATGGAACACATCCATAGCCCAGAGTCATCAATTCATGCTCTCCAGTTAGAATTTTGTGCAGCAGAAACCTCGGTCACCTAGTTACTATCTTTGAAAACATTTATGGAATGCAGTTTCAGTTTACAAGCGGCTACACTGCTCCCCCCTCCCTTTCTGTTGGCAACTGTAAAAGAACCATAGAAATATTTTATGAGTTAACACTACCTGTATAGGTAAAATGTCCATCTGTCCATTATTATTTGTTTCAGGAAGCTGTTCTTTAGGTTTATTGATTTTTCAAAAACTCACTGTTCTCCTTTATTTTGGCCATCTAACTTTCACTGTACAAACGGTACCTCTTATTGTGTGGTCTTCTACATTTATGTGAAAAGGATGAAAATTTAAAAAAATTTTAAAAAGTGTATATAAAATCAGGCTTGTCAGATGTTCTGTCTTTTCTCTCCTGCTCTACGGAGTAGAGAGTTGGACTCTGAGAGACAGCCACTTGAAGAGACTAAAAGCATTTGAAATGTGGATTTACAGGCGGCTGTTACGTATAAACCAGGTTGACAAGATCAGAAATGAGGAGGTGAGAAGCTGCCTGGGAAAGCCAAGGGAAATTGTGATGACCTGGGGCATGGCACAAACGCAACAAAGTCACAAAAGTAGGTAAAGTCCCTTTAATACCTCCAACTTTGCCTCCAATGTCCAGTTATCTTCAGCTGGAGAAAAAACTCCCCCAAGAACAGGTTTTAAAGGGAAGAAATTCAGTCCAAACCCAAAGAAAATAAAATTATAAATAAAAACCAACACAAACCACGCTGCAGCAATTAACGAGACATAGCAGGATAAGGAATTGAAGACTTCAAAAGATAACGAAACACACACTGTTGGGAGGATGCCAGAACCCAGATAAGCCTCTACAAACAAAGATAACTCACGGTTTACTTCCAACAGTTGGCTGTGCGCAACTTCCCTTTTTAAACACTATGTTCCCTGTTGCAGCTAATGAAGGGGATCAGGGCCCTTTCCTCCCCTGTAAGCCAAGCAACTCACATTGCTCCCTTCTCCGTTCCTCCCTGTGTGCCTTAGGATGAAGAGGGGGTGGGCCTGGGTCTTCCTCTGAATGCCCAGCTGAACTGTGCCCTTCCCCAGTTTCCTACACAGCCACCAGAGCCACACTCCCACTCCCTGTCAGCTGTTCCACCTCTCCCTCGGAATCAGATTCCAACAGGGGCATGACACCCATATTCTAGCATTTCCTAACTGGTTCAGAACAGTGATGGGTTCAAAAATTTTTACTACCGGTTCTGCGGGCGTTGCTTGGTGGGCGTGGCAGAGGAAGGTTACTGCAAAATCCCCATTCCCTCCTCACCCCACTAGCCTGCTTTCCAGCTCTGTTCTCCTGTGCAGGGCAACCAAAGAAGACCCAGACAATCCGCTGGGACTCAGGAGGTAGAGAATAGATGGGGGCAGGGCCAGTCAAAAGTGGGATTTGACGGTTCTCTGAACTACTCAAAATGTCCTCTAGATTTCCTCCAGAACTGGTCAGAACCTGCTGAATACCACCTCTGGTTCAGATTCTTCCTAAAGAGGAACGGCCAAAATCCATGGTTCCCAGCCCTCCCCATCCAATGTCTTACCTTTGCTGGAGTTGTGATAACTGTGTAAGATGGCAAGGTCAGTTTTGAATCGCCGCTCCGTGGTGCTCACTCTCCGTGATGTCAAATCCCAGAAATGAGAGTCCTCCTCCTTCATGTTATGTAGCCAGGCCATTTGGGGTAACATTCTTCTGGTATGGGAGTCAAAATGTGCAGCTAGCTGATCGTCCACATACGCCACCACAATGTAGTGTGGCACATCCTGGCTGGAGCCCATGACCAGCGTGTAGAAAATGCGCAATGAATGGGAACCTGAAAAGAGCCAGGAAGTGGGGGGTGGGGGGGGGAATGGGGTAAAGGAAATTTGGGAGAGGTGTGTCCAAAGGCATACTTTTAACCACCACCCACCCGCCCTTTTTTATTTGGAACCAGCCCCCTTTTTCGAGAAAGCCTGACTACAGCTTATCCTCAACTTTTGACAGTTCAGTACAAGAGCCGTGGTGGCGCAATGGTTAGAAGGCAGTACTGCAGGCTACTTCTGCTGACTGCTAGCAGTTCAATTCTGACCGGCTCAAGGTCGATTCAGCCTTCCATCCTTCTGAGGTAGGTAAAAGGAGGACCCATACTGTTGGGGGCAAGAGGCTGACTCTGTAAATCACTTAGAGAGGGTTATAAAGCACTGTGAAGTGGTATATAAGTCTAAGCTGCTATTGAGATAGATAGATAGATAGATAGATAGATAGATAGATAGATAGATAGA